AAAAAGATGGTGAAAACATTAACGCAAACATGAGTTAAACATAATGACCGCTAATTTGTTTTAATTTATGTTATAGTTTCGCTGTTGCTGCATTGGAGTCTTCATAAATTTCCGTTATGGACTATTTGGTGTGACTTTAATGTGCTCTTGTACATATGTGTCTTGGGCGAGTGGTTTTGTGGAGTGTGGCGGGTTTTTTTTTTTATACCCAGACAAGGGCGTAATAAGCTTAACAAGAAGTTTGTACGATTCAGAAGGAGACTTGGAGATCCTATATATATATGTATATGATCACCGTGGTAAACTGAGTTGATTAATTCATGTCCATCTGTCTGTATATACGTCAACCTATCTCTCAGTTTTTGAGATATCGATAGGACATTTTATACATTTTTTTTCCTACAAGTGGATGCTCATTTGTCGGAACCGCCGATATCAGACCACTACATCATATAGCTGCCATACAAACTGAACAATCAAATTCAAATTCTTGTATCTAATCTTTTGAATTTGTGAAGGTATTATAGCTACGGTGCAACCGTAGTCAACTTTTTTTTTTGTTATCGTTTGATTTTTTGTAAAAACGATATTGTTTCCTGAGATATTGCACCTAAGTGTCTGATTTGGGTTCTCGAACAAGAGTGTGTTCGTAGAAAAATATGCTGAATCAATCATAGAAATTTGAAAAATTGAAGCATGCCACATCATAACAAAAAATTGGCAAAAACGAATTATTTGCTAGATATTGAATCAAACCCCTTCCAACTTTGACCTTTTATATTAGTTCAACCAAAAAATGTTATACACCTTATAAGCTCAACTTCAAACTTCGAAGGCAAATATTTTGATTTTGGAGCCTAACTTCGAAAAGCAAAGAAATTATTTTTTTGTTATGACTTAAGCATTTGGAAAATATTGGTCTGGCTTGTGTTTCAAAAGTTCATAAAAACATTATTCGTTGGTTCTCTGAACATTATACCTGAAATATCATCAACGGTATCATTGAAAGTTAAAATGAAAAAATGAAGTTAAGAAAGTATCTTAGTGGTATAATATACCGTATGACATTTTAGTACTCAGTGTTCTTAACTGTTATTGAAAACATATAAACTTTAAAATTCTGATAGCTAAATCGAACGCATATATAAAACCGCTGGTAATACATTCACCGTATAGAAAGAACCACAGTAAATGCGATACAAACCAATAGTATAACAAAGCATTACTCTCTTAAATCAAAGCTGCACAAAGTACCTACAAATTCGAATTTCACATACCTTTATGCGTGTTAAGGACCGAACGCATACGGTAAGGATAAGTGGCTACTATCCCAAACACATACGAAGTTTATTGATGTTGGTGATGGGTTACAACAAAAGAACTCATTTCCAAAACTCCTGTAAATTCTTTCTTTGTCTTTATATACCATACGTGCACGTATGTACTTCAAAATGTAACGAGACCTTGTTTGCTTATTGAGAGCTCACTTGAATGGCAACCGGCATATAAATCACCTTATACTCAGGCTGTCTAAAACACACGTTTAACTTGTTTTTGAAGCAAAACAGCTGCAGCAGAATGTCGGGAGTTCATAGAAGGCTGTAGGTGGCTAGTGACGATTTCTTAACAAGTCAAAGTAGCATATTGTGTGTATTTTACGAAGAATGTATTTTTTCGTTAGCAAGTGGTAGAAGTGTGTTCGATTCAGACAAAATTTCGCCGAAGGTACTTAATAATGGTTGAAATTTCTTCGATGGTAAAATTATGATCATATATTGTTTGTTTCTAAAGCCTTTAACGATTGTGTAGAAACTTCCTAGTACATGTCTTTTTATAAATAGATAATTCTGGGCCTGATCGAAGCTTTTTTTCTTTTTCAAAAATTAACAAAATGGCGGCCTCAGGAAATTTTTTTCTAGATTTTTGGGAATCGAAATTTTTGAAAAAAAATCTTTCGATCAGACCCGAGTTTATTATGTATTCTAAAAGCGGTATAAATTTCATTAAAATCTACTGAGCGGTTTTCGGATTACAGTTGTCACCAGTTTGAAAAATATAGTTTTAAGAAAAACGCATTGAAAATTTCTTGCAGCTGCCTGCTAGCATAAGAAGTGCTTTGAAGTGCCCGAACGCTCTTTGTTATTTGTTGAATAACTCAAAAAGTAATTATCGGATCAACTTGAAATTTTCAGAGAATATTTTCAAGATATTACACAAAAAAAAAAAAAAACAAATCGAATTTTTTTTTAATTCTGACTACTTAGTGGGGCTAATGATTAAGCTTTAAAAATTTCAATGAAGAAGAGTTGAAAGAAAAGGATATACATTTATTGTAAAAAAAAATTAAATTTTTAAACAAAACTTTTTATTTGATTAAAGATCTTAAATAGTTTCAACTTAAGTGTACACATTTTAAATTTTATTATGGAAGGCGACAAGAAAAAATGTGCAGTCAATGGTTTTCGTTACGATATTTTTTAACACTTGAATAATTCTATATATTTATATAATAGACTTGTATGTACGAGCTTAACTCTTATAATTGTATATGGAAGAAACCACAAGAGCTCCCAAACAAACAAAAACAAACATATATGTATGCATTTATCTACAATTTGTGCGAAACACGCCATAAGCGTAGTAAATATAAAACCAACAACAAAAGACAACAACCGTTTCTTCTTATCACTGCCGTATGCATTTGAACCGCCCTCTTGTGCTTTTGAATCCTGCTCGCTCATTCAATATAACTTCGGCTCACTCAAAAAGACAGCGCCAAATATTTATAAACTTTTGCGTATCCGCAAATCACCAATTAAATATTTATACTTCAATCTATTCAACATGCGCATTTATAACCATTCATGATGTAATAAATATAAAACTGTGCAAAAGGTCAATGGCTCACGTGTGCTCAGCTTGGGAAGAAAGTGATATCAAGTAGAAGAAGAAGTTAGCTCAATACACATGTTTATGTTTGTATTTAGATATACATTCTCATATACCTATGCTCGTATATATATGTATATCTAACATACTTATATACTTATATATATATATTTATGGATACGTTTGATGGCTGAAACCTCGTAGCCTCAATCATTTGCTACCTTGTTTCATAGAGCTAGAAGCTAAATTTAGCCAGCAGCATGGAAAATATCAACTGGTTGAAAGCTAGCGCATTCTTAATAAAACTTCTGCTTGGTCTAATCGCAAAAATGTTTATTACATACGAGTATACTGCTCCTTGGTTTGGTTTTTGTAACCTCGCCTGGCTGTAATGATGAGCGCTTTCATTTTTTATATAAATTGCTATATATAAAATAAACTGCGCAAAATATAATTTTTTCAGTTACTTATTTATAGCAAAAGTTTTCAAATGTGACTAATTGGTTATATATATTTTAATTGTTATATATATTTTAATAGTTTGAACCGAGTTTTTGATCAGCTAAGCCAATGTACAATTTCATGATAGAAATCATAAAGAAGAACGCTTACAAACTGGAGGGGTTATATCTACTTGTGAATTTCAGAAAATCAATTTGTATATACATACATATACAAATATTTTAATTTAATGTAATCGGCTACCACAATTTAAAACACATGTTTTTTAAACGTTGTGTTTAAAGATGGTGAGGAAAATTACACCAAAACGAATCAATCGATCTTCTTAGACATCTGTATTTTGTTTTTGAGTAAAGATCGATAGGAATAAGATTTTTGAGAAAATGTTTTAAAACACTTTGAGGTAAAAACTTTGTCACAAAAAAACGACTTTTTCCGAGAAGCCGACCATTTGTCAAAAGACCAACTTTTAACTAATGTTCCTTATCTATATCCTTTAACTATAGAAATAATAAAGTTTAATAATTTAAATCAGTAAAAGCTTGCTCACAGCCAGACATCTTTTTTCGGAAGTCTTCCTGTAGATCGGCTACAGGCCCAAGGAAATGCAAATTTTTCAAAACGAATCGCCAATTATTAAAGTACATGAAATTCTCTAGTCATTTTTGTATTTATTAAATAAATGAAATGGCTGTACAGCAAAAAAAAGATCACAAAAAAACCTGGATCTGAAAAAAAATTTCAGACCAAAAAATTTTTAATCGTGCTAAATGGAATAAAAACATGTATAAAACTTTAAAAAAATAATAAACTTTGTGGGCACATCGATAGTCCTCCAACCTGATCACACAACACAAGATATGCGACAGAAAAAACTGTAACCTTTATCGAGAGATTATGCAACAAAATATTACATACAAATTTCTACAGATCGTGTTGTATGGTCGTTTAAAGCTCTGCGTTAGTCAACTAGATCTATATTTTTAGTGCGGCTCTGGAAGTGTATAACCATTGAAAGTTGTGGCTTTAACGTTACATTCAAAGCCAGGAAAAATTATTTTTAACCTGAGAATTGGAAATAATCTCTCCAAGGCAGTTGAAGCTGAAAAGTAGGACAGTTTTTTGTTATCACATATCTTTAATATTATATAATGTCGGAGCAGCGAAACTTAAGGTGATTGATCACTATTTTCAACTCATTCTTTGATGTGATCATAGTCACAATTGAGTTTTTCTGACTTTGAAAGTAAAGGAAGCGTCGCTATATTTTTAAAGTGCAAGAAACTACTGCCGTGACTTAACACCCGTCGTTCATTGTATTTTCTGGTTAAGATACAAGACGAACTAGTCTAGTGATAAACGTTGAAAAGAATATATATTGTATTTAAAGAACCATAAACCTCATTTAAGGAACTGCATTAACCTAGTAACGACATTAACCTAGTATCTCAGTGAATTCAATCACATCGGAATTCTAACTAAGAGACGATGAAATCAGGTTCTCCAGCTCGAAAAAAAAAATTCTTTGAAAGATGTATATGTTATTGTAGACTCGCACAAAATCACTAACTCGGTTATATAGCTAACAAAAAACAGATAGAAACGCTCTTAGAGCTGCTTATTTTTAATACAACGAGAAACACTTTGCATTTACTAAAACTAATTTATTTATTTTTAGAAATATTCAAAAATAAAATTATGATATTTTAAATGACTTATAGACTAAATGTTCTAATATTTAATTTTTTACAATTTTTTATTAATTAAATTTTAATTATGCACTACTATAAAATATTAAAAATTCAGGCCCGACTTCGGGTAATGGGGCGCAGTAAAAACAGCACACTGTTGCTGATGATATGTAATCTTGTTATAAATATCTTCACACTGATGTTGAAATTGGTGTTGCTGTAGATTCATTAGTTGTTGTTGTGCTAGTTGCATTTGGCGCTGGTGGTGCAAGTACCACTCGTGCTGCTCATGTAACGCCTGTGTCATCATCACTTGTTGTGTCCGCTCAATTTCTTGTGGCGTCGGAAAGTACCGAGCCGTTGGCATTTGTGGATGTGGCACGCCTTGCGCCATCGCGTGATCGACGCTCCGTTTCGAATCGTATGCGACATTACCGTTGGCACCGAATTGTATTGGTCCATGTGCCGCACCGTTCTTGATCGAATCAATCTCAGGGTTTAAAGTCCAATAATTGCCACGCCCGGGATCGCTGGGTGGACGTGGTATTTTCATGAAGCAGGAATTCGTAGTGAGCGTATGCCGAATTTGACATTGCCAGCCACGTTGATCTTTACGATAATATGGAAAATTTTCCGCAATCCATTTTTGGATGCCACTCAGTGTTAGCTTTTGTTCGGGGCTGTTGCGTATAGCCATCGTGACCAACGCTCCGTAGGTATAATTCGGTCTTATGTCGGTATCGGTTTGCATCGATGTCTTGTTATCTTCACAGTTCGAGAGTATGCTGCGTATGGAAAAGTTCGATTCGAATATTGGTGCCATTTTACGTAAGCAAATGAACTATTGAATTGTAGTGAAAATGGATGTTGATGTTGAATGTGTGGACGAATTAGCTTGTTGCTTGCTTTAAGATATGCAAAATCTGTCTGCTGAAAAATCCTTTGAATTCCTCGGTATTTATATTCTTGAAGTAAGTCAGTTTGAGTACATCGCGATATCACACTGGAAGTAACTTTGGCTGAGAGTCGCTCCAGTTTTTTTTTTTCAAAGTCAAGTTAATATCAAAACCAAAGTCATAAAAGCAAGGCCAAATCAAGGGTTATTATACGGTAAGCGAGTAAATAGAATGGTTTTGACTTTAATGCAGCCAAGGTCAGGCGATAGATTCCTTAGAGGCCGCCACTTCTCTAGGCTTTAATCTGTTGCAAGTATAGTTTGTATTGTTAGAAGAACAAAAGGGCAGAAAAAGTAAAAAGACATGTGCACTTGCGAGAGCAAAACTTGCGACAAAACACTCAAAATCACATTTTAAACATTTCTCAGGTATGCAATCGACGCTTTATGAAATGGAATGCTGTCAAAAAAACTCAACTTGATTTTGCGGTCGTTGATTTTAACTCCATACAAAAGGTAGATTAAATATCTTAATACATTTCTCACACTCTTGGTAACACTTGCCTACCTGAGCTCTTGAGTGGTATTGGTAAGCTTTATCTCTCGTTATGTAACACTCGCGTCAAGTTCATACCTGTTTGTAACGTTTGGCCTTAATTTGTGGCTCAGAGAACAATGGAGACTTCGCTACGGTATTGCTGTTGAAAAGTCCCTCCCATAGCGACCTTGACTAAATTGTTCTACAGTTTTGCATTTTTGACCGCTGTAATTGCTGGTTTCGAGAACTATTGTTCTCTTCCATGACTTTGCTCTTGATTCGGGGATTAAAAAAAATGACTTTAACGCGTAGCATTTTGGCTTCCATTCAAGATACTAGATTTTACAACTGACCTTGATGGTAAGTATTATTTAGTCTTTGTTTCACAACATCAGATAGGCACTCAGCAACAAGAACATGAGTAGTAGATGACGCCATCGTGTCGAGAAAAATTTGTTCGATGCTTCTAAAGATAATAAACAAGAGTAAAGCAAACGTTTAGAAATATTTGTCGTTATAATTTGAATACTGTTTGCCTGAAAATATATGTCAGAAGTAGACGTTTTTGTTACAATCTTTTATTCCTCAATACTTTTGTTGAGTACCGTTGTTAAAAGTTTCTCTTAGGCTCTAATGTTTGTAAGCAATTGCTTTAGGTTCATTTTGAATAAGCAATGCTAAAAAGTGAAATTTATAGTTACTTTTTCACTTTGGGCTTTAGTTCTTATGATGATGAGTTATTGCAGTCTTTTTCAAAGTCAAATTACATATAATATGTGGTATTATTCTTCTGTTTCAGTTCATGAATCCGAAGTTTTTTTTGTAAAACATATTATAGATTAATGTAGTAGTTACCCATATATACCAATTATATTCTTATATAAGAATACCCATTTCGGAAACAATGTTTATTAATAAGTTTATTATATTCACACTCACTATAATAAATAACAGGTTAGAGTGATACCATAAAAACAAATGTTACTGCCAACATACGGCCGCCCAAATATAAAACCCTGTTTTTGAGTATTTTCGGGTTCAATGTGCAAACGAAGTGTTTCCTAAATGCCTACGTGTGAAAAATGCTTTTCCGGAATGAAGCAAAACAAATAAAAATAATGCCAAAAAAAAAAAATAAAATAACAACAACATATTTACATATGTATATATGTACATAAGTGAGTTAGAATAACGGTATGTGTCTGCCAAATCCGTTTGTGCAGACATTTTATATGTATTGGCATGGTCTATAGTATGTCGAAATGCGAGTGTGTTTATGGTTGTAAACCATATATATACATATGTATATATATATATATGTAAGTATGTGTATTTTTATTGCAAACAAAACAGCGATAAAGGAACACACCATAAAAATTGAACCAAGTAACTGTGTATTTCCGCTTTTATTGCAAAGCTTATCACCATCGTATGCATGGCTATCTACAAGGTACTGTAGACAAATACAAACTCGTATAAGGTATGTTTTGTGCATGTGGGCTTTGTACAGGTGCATTTAAGCAAACATAGTATAAATATATGCTATGTTGAAAAAATTTTAAGATAAAAAATGACGCTGCTTAAAAAATCTTACAATCGAAAATAATTTGTGCAGGGTTGCCACATGACTTAAATTTTAAAATCAATAATAATAATTATCGCTATGTGAAAATCAAAACAAAAATATTAAGGTAAGCGTATAGCTTAAAATATTTTTAAAAAGGGTTGCCAACTATTTCCCATTTATCGTTTTGGTAAATACAGTTTAAGTTTGTTAATTTAAACAAAGAATTGTAACTGCTTTGGTCAAAAAAAAATTTTAAACTAAAGAAACACTTTAGATTGGGTACCAAGCTGACGAGGATTGAAGGGCGTAAGTAAAGTTGAATATATATTTGAGAATACCGCGTATTTATATATTTATATATAATATTCAAATAATTCTAGAAAATCGCTGACACATTGATATATGGACCTCGAGTTAAAGAGACCTCTATAGGTAATTACTTGGAGAAGTGTTTGTCATCTTTTTGGATGATCGAATTTGCGTTCAAATGTAAGAAGTTGAGTCAATTTATTCATATAAACGATTTTTATAAGTTTTCTTATAATAAATTTCAAATTATGAATTGAGTCAATTTGCATAAAAAATTATAACTCCTCAATTTATTCTCCTAAGCTTCACACTCTCCTTTAGCTTCACACTTAAATATTATTTCACAAGTGAACTCATCAAGATAGTCACATCAACTAAAAATAATTTATTTTGTAGAAAACAAACTAGATTCGCATATAGTAAATTCATATATAATCAAAACATGCATATATCTGTATGTAGAAAGCACAGAAATTTCATCAAAATATCATAGCACATTGTCAGCCTTACATATGGATAAGTATATTTGCAGATTTGATCTGAAGTTTCACTTGCAGTCATGACTGAATGCAATTATTGGAAGATAGCATACATTCGTACGTAAGTGTGCACAGATATCTAGTACATGAATATATTAGTATAGAAATATAATTCTTAAAATCAAATTAACAAAATCCAAGCTATAAATAAAGCTTATATAAACAGTGAAAGCAAAGTTTCATTTTGAGGTTCGGCTGAGCTGGAATTTGTAAAAGTAATTTGCAGAAAAAGATGTACATAATATGGTAAACAAATCAATTTTCAGCAATTTTGGAATATTTTGAAATATAAGTACTGTTATCATTTTAAAAGCACACATGCAAACACACAGTGTTGCTAATCGTTAATCTGAATATACCATATTACAACCAGGTCAAATTAGACAGAAAATAAAAGTCAGATTACATAAATTTACAACAAGCTGAAGGTTAGTGAACATGCTCAAGACATGACCTTAAATAACACACTAAAACTCTTCTTCGTTTCGGTATATTAAAAACAATATTGGATGTCAAAGGTCAAGAACACTTTTTTCGTGATTTTCAACGAAACGGTAAGTTGTATCAAAAAGTTACGCTAAACGAAAATTGTAGAGCATAAAATTATCTTTGAAAACCTTTCAGTGCTAAGCTAAGTATGTTATCTCATAGGTGACATGAAAACATGTACAAAGTGTCTCAGAAACGGTAGGTCTTTGGAAAACAAAAATCAATATAGCAAAGAATACTCAATTTAAGCCAGCAAGACGTTGAAGGTAAACTACAGAAGGTGAATAATTTTTAGACCCGGGAGTATAATTGAGTAATATAATACAGCTAATGTCTTGGTATTGAAATGCAAAAAAATTTACTTTTGTATGGTGTGCGTCTTGACCGGGATGACATCGAACAATATTTTTTATATGTCAAATATAATACTTCGTTCGGCATGCCTACCATTGGGTGGTACTATGAAAATAACGTTTTCCATTATTATTCAGACTTTATCTCGGTCGAGAATTGAACTCAGTACCCAACGATTCGCTGACCCACTTAATTACGAAGGTCGCCAATCAATTTTTTTATCTTATCTTTACGGATATATATACATTTGCTTTAAAATACGTTTTACAAAAATTCAATATTATTTTTTATTTAAAACCCTTGTTAATAGTTTGCCTCAATATTTGGCCATCAACTTCTTCAAAATATCTAAAACTATCTATTGTGAAATTATACAGATAGTATGAATTTAGTAAGGAAACTCAGACAAAGCTACTAACATATTCTTAGAAAGTGAAGCTACAATAGAAACAATTGACTTTATTTGATTGGCCTCTAAACTCTACAATTTCCTTAAGAGACACTCGGATTTGTGACTATCTTCTACCTGAGAGGATAGAGACACGCGCGAACGTGTTTTGTTGTGTTGCATTGCTCTTTATGCCATAATCCCCTGCTTGTGACCTGTGTCATATAGAACGATAGAAATTGCGTCACGCAAATCCTTAACATAAGGCTTTCTTCAATGCAGGTGTTTTGGCGTTTGTAATTGCGGGTTTTACCACACATTAGTTATTCTCTTGGCCTCGATTTCGGGACTTTGTGTTTGAAGTCAGCTGGTCCGTAAGTTTTTCTATCCATCTAAAATACAGTTTTATGGTTCAGTTTTAATGTTTTGGCTTTGACTGGATGTAAAACTCTTAAATAAAAGTAAAACAACGAATTAGGTTTTGATGGTCAAAGAAAAAGTAATAATTTTTAATAGCTACGGGCTATTTTGAAAAAGTTTCTTTCCCTGGTACAGTTACGTCGATTTGTCAGACTACTTAAATGATATCGAGAGCCACAGATACAATGTACTCTTAATAGGGTGGAGCGAAAAAAAAAAATTTTATTTTTACTTAGCCTGGGGGTAAAATCTGTAGATTATAAAAAAAAAATTTTTTGGACAAAAAAAAATTGTTTTTAACACCTAGAGGCGGCGCACTCAGTTTTAAAGTAAATCTAAAGATTTTATCCCCAGGCTAGCCAAAAAAACTAATATTTTTCGCTCCACCCTACTCCTTAACTCTTATTACGTGAAGTATAGTGAGAGAAATGTGTATATACTCATAAAATTTGAAAGCAATGGAGAAACTTGAAAGCAGTTGAGAACTT